TATATATATGAGACTGCATTGCCAGGCCAGGTTAACATCCATGTCTTCCAGATATTGCAACATTCCTTTCTTTCCTATTGTAGATGTCATTAAAAATATTGTACTTCTTAAGAACATCAGCTTAGTACATTTTATAATCTCTCATTCTGTTGAAATGCTCTGCTGAGATTTTATTACTGACATAAAAAGAATTAAATGTGGATTTAATAATATTAACTGCTTCTACGAAAATTTAATTGATGACACAACCAATTAAATAATTGATGTTTTAATTTCTCCCTGCAGTTCTCCTCCATGGACATTTACACTGATACCCTATGTATCATTCCTCTACTATCCTCTCTCTCACGGTCCAAGCTCCCTGTGGATGTGCTTGCTCTTCTACTGCCATCCCAGTAAAATGAGGACTTGGCCCTCTCTTCCTGGTTAATCTACCCTGAACAGAAGCTGATGGGGAACAGAAGTAAACACACCACCCATTTTGCACCATTCCCTAAAGTCCATTTGCATTAATTGTTCTGTGGTCTACCTCATATAGGATCACATATGACTGTTTGCATTTGGATACGAGGGCTCCTGCTGTGAATGTACCTCGCCGAGCGTGCTGCACCCAAGTGCCAGGACCTTCATCCATTCCACCTCCTCGCCGAAGTCGTCCAACTGCAGGATAGCTTCCAGCTGCTCCTCTGGCAAGCACAAGTGCTTCCATTTCTCCTTCAGTTCTGCAACATTCACTATGCCTTTGGGAGAAAGCTTTAAACAAAACCATGGTATTGCAATAAGAACTCCGAAAATCAGAACGAAACTAAGAACACAGTCCCTCCCCAAAATACGCCAAATACTTAACAGTCAGTCTCCCCACCCATCCCCAACACACCAGCATTCCTCAATAGCACTGTACATTTGGTAAAGGCCGGTTTGTACCTGTTTATGCAGTACTTTAAGGAGCCCTGGGGTCAAACCAGTGTTTGTTCTCTCTGTTGATAAAGATATTTCAAGTCTTTCCTTCACAGGAAGGGGCTCGCCTTTCGATAATGCTGAAAAATACCTAAGCAAACGGCAAGAGCAACACGCTTCAGTGCCCATGGCCACTACAAGCTGCACAGAAGTAAACTCTTACAGTTCAGTGAATGAATCCGCATGCTCCTGTGCAAGAGCGGCAGCACTCGGCGAGCTGCCTGCCTGCACAACTCCTGTCTCCCCGTACCCAGATACCACCTTTCTTAAAGGACAGAGCAATTAACAACAACAACATAAAAATTAAGATGCATTCGATACAGAAATCAAACTATTCCAAAATAAAGCCCTAAATCTCAGTGAAAGAGAAAATAAATCAAGTACTACACTATTTTTAAAAGGCTCACATACTGCATTAACGCACAGAGGTGCACATACAATACACAGGCTGGTTTAATATTCAAGCCAGCCCTGCTGTACAACAAACAGGAGCAGCAAGATTTTGTGGGTCCACAGGCATAGTGCTACGTCATTATGCGAACATCCACATCCTACTTACGCAGCTGCCCACTGCAAGACATCACGAGGTTGAGTCCTAATAGCAGCTTTGGTAAATTGCTTCAGGATATCGGGTAGCTCAGGGGGGATTTTGATCTGCTGAGCGCAATACATGGTTTCCGGAAGAGGCATGGTTCCTTTCACATTCAGTTACAAGGACCTGGAAGAAATAATAATAAACCAGCAGCTCACAGATGCAAAATGTGAATGCAAAACTGCGTGTGCGTATGGGGGAACACAGTGCTTGTACCCAAACTCCCTCCTGTGCTACTTGACTGCTGGGGCTGCTGGAGAACTGACAAACTCAGAAGGGTAAACAGACAAGCACTACAAGTCTCCAAAAACCTTGAACTTGATGGCAACACCAAGCAAAATTCTGGAGCTTGGACACCAACCACAGCCCTGAGTAAGGAGAACTACTGCTTTAACAGGTATCTTATAGTTTTAAACTGATTTTTCTCTTCAAACCTACCACAATACGAATTTGTAAAACAGGTAGTTCAGATAAAGCACACCATGCATGCCAAGGTGAAAGCTAGCTATGTTGACAACTCACTACTGCAAGCCAAGGAGAGTTTTGTCATTTCTGTACAGAAGCCAGAGTATGCAGATTGCCAAGTTTCTACTGTGTTCACATATTCAAAAAACACTGTAGCAAAAAGTTACTAATTTGTGGTCCTGGCAGATTTTACATCAAAAATTACAGCGATGAACAAAACATTCACGTAAACTGCACTTACGCATTGCACTCTGCTCATAAAGCTCTACAGGTAGGTTTGTCTTATTCAGGATGTAACTTACTTGCTGCAAGGAATCCTGTTCCCCAGGATCCAAAAGAAGGGACAGGCATAGGTTCTTGTATGGTCCTTATCTCATTACAGCTTCCCAGTGCATCATTTAAAGGACAAACTACAGCCTACATAAGTTGATTTAGCAAAAAGAGCTGAAAACATGTCAGCTATTTGCAGAAGGAAAGAATAGCGAAAGCAACGGGATCAAGAAAGGAATCAGTATAACAGAATACTTTATCCCTTTAGGGTTTTACATTTTAAATTTTTAAGATGAAAATAAGAGTATCTGGCAGGTGGCTTTCTCCCCCTATCACATGAATTTTTCTGTATTGGGAAAAAAATTAAAAGTTGGAAGATGGAAGAATGGGACTGCTGTGACTCCAGGCTCTTTTGAGGACCAAAGCATACTCAGAACTTCATTTCTGTAGAAACGCAGACAGGGTACAGCGTCTTCATTATTCCAACACAGCAAATTTGCGTCAAGGACAGACTTCAGAATGTGCATTTCATTACTACATTGGTCACGCACTTTCGGTAATGCTTTGAAAATGCAGCTCTAGCTAAGGACTGAAGCTGAAGGCAAAAAGTTGTGGATTTCAGGATAAGCTAGAGAGCAGAAAAACCTCGAGGAAGGAATACACATGTGTGTGCACGTGCCCTTGGGAAGCAAAGAAAAGAACAAAAAACTAATCAGAATAGAAAAAGTAGAGAGGAAAAAAACCCACAAAACATGAGACCTGCTTTTCTATAGTACACCATTAATCACCGAGTCACAAGAAGGGCTGAGGTGGGCAGGGACCTCTGGAGATCACCTGGCCCAACCTCCCGCTCAAGCAGGGCCACCTGGAGCAGGCTGCCGAGAACCAGGTACAGACGGGTTCTGAAGGTTTCCAAGGGGGGAGATGCCACCCGTGCTCTGGGCAACCTGTGCCGGTGCTTGGCCACCCTCACAAGGAAAAAGGGTTTCCTGATGTCCAGAGGGAACCTCCTGTACGTGCGTAC